TGTGTGTGTGAGTGAGTGTGTGTGTGAGTGCGTGTGTGTGTGTGAGTGCGTGTCTGTGTTAGTGTGTGTGTGAGAGTGAGTGTGCGTGTGAGTGCGTGCGTGTCTGTTAGAGTGTGTGTGAGAGTGTGTGTGTGTGAGAGTGTGTGTGTGTGTGTGTGAGTGCGTGTCTGTTAGAGTGTGTGTGTGAGAGTGAGTGTGCGTGTGTGTGCGCGTGAGTGAGTGCGTGCGTGCGAGTGCGTGTGTGTGAGTGAGTGTATGAGTGTGCGTGTGAGCGTGTGTGTGTGTGTGTGTGAGAGAGAGAGTGTGTGAGTGTGTGTGTGTGTGAGTGTGTGTGCGAGTGAGTGTGCGTGTGTGTGTATGTTTATGTGGTTTATGAGGACACAAATGTGTATAATAACATGGGTATGACAGGTATTACGAGGTGGTGATTTATGAGGACATTTTCAGTGTCCCCGTAATTCAAAAGGCTTATAAATAATTCACAACGAGTTTTTTTGAAAATCTAAAAAAGTCTCCTGTGAGGGGTAGGTTTAGGGGTAGGGTTGGTGTAGGGCAATAGAATATACGGTCTGTACAGTATAAAAACCATTACGCCTATGGAGAGTCCCCACTTTTCACAAAAACAAACCTGTGTGTGTGTGTGTGTGTGTGTGTGTGTGTGTGCGCGCATGAGTTTGTCTGACCGTGAGTGACACAGGGTTTGTGGGTAGTGCCGGACTCTCCTGAACACGTGACTGGTGTGTGTTTTAGACGAGGGGCCGCAGGGGACGAACTGACTACTTTCATCATCATCGTCCCTGTTTTGGCTCAGCCAATCATCACCCAGCGAGGAGGCGGAGTCCTGGCTGGGCGGGGCCTGGCACTTGGGTGGCTCGTGCAGGGAAGGGTTGGAGGCTCCGTCTGCTAGCGGCTAAACATTCATCAAACACACACATTAATAACGAGTCAGCACTGAAGCTCTGACTGACTGGAGATCAGGACTCACTCTGTATCTCTGGTTGATGGGATACACCACCCTCGCCTTCAGCGCAAACGCCGCCACGTCGCTGTTCACCGCCGACTGATGCCGCTCCTGAGAGAAGACGAATACAAGATATCAATAAAAGCACTCGCGAACATCACTCAGGGAAGCTTCATTTTGTCAAGCAGATGAAGGAAGTTTGTGCTAGAAACTCGTGCTGGAGCTGGTGTGAGTTAAACTCTGCAGGACCTCCAGGAGCAGGTCTGGACACCCCTGATATAAACTATGCCATAGTTTGGGTTCCTTGCCACTGTCGCCTTTGACTTCCTCAGTGAAGATTTAAAAGACAATTCATATTCAATTATAATGACACTGTTTATATTACTGTGAAGCTGCTTTGAAACAAGCTGTATTGTATGAAGCACTATAGAAATAAAGAAGATTTGATTGTATTTAGTACTTGGCAAAGTTCAAGGACAAGGTGAGAGTCTGGTGACATAAGCAAGTTTTACTAATTAATTCACCAATTCTATCACTTTTAAAAAGTAATATGACACATTATTGATGTCCTGGTAACCAAAGTTAACTAGTTATTGACTTTTATATGGACAGTAGGTATGTGACGTGTGTGTTTTCTCCACCATCTCTCGTCTCTCTCTGGCAAACGAGTGAAGATGCACATTTATCATGTTTTCTGTATCATGTAGGGTTGGAGTTTGTGGTACGTACGGCTCCTTTAGCAGGTTCTGCCTCCTCTTGTGTTCTCCTGCTGTCACAGTCGCTCTCCTCCTCACACTCCTCTAGACGCCTCCGCAGACCTTCACACACCTTCAACACAACACAACACTAACAGTCCATATACCGGAGTAGACTACTAAATTATGTTGGCATTAATGGAAGTGCATTAGCATGGTTCAAATTGTACTTGTAACACCGCCATCAATTCGTAGCAGTGAATGAAGAGGTATCATATCGATCACAAGTGCAGTATGGAGTACCTCAAGGCTCAGTACTAGGGCCGTTACTCTTCACGCTTTACATGTTACTCTTGGGAGATATCATCAGCAAACACGGTGTTAGCTTTCACTGTTATGCTGATGATACTCAGCTCTATATTTCTTCACGGCCCGGCGAAACATACCAATTTGAAAAACTAACAAGCCCTGAATGGTTTAGCACCTCAGTATTTGAACAAGCTCTTATTGCATTATAGTCCTCCACGTCCACTGTGTTCTCAAAACTCTGGCCATTTGATAATACCTAGAATATCAGAATCAACTGCGGGCGGCAGATCCTTCTCCTATTTAGCTCCCAAACTCTGGAATAATCTACCTAACACTGGGGACGCTTGACTGATAGCACAGACACTACTGAAGAGAGCTGAACTGATGATGAATCACTGAATCAACAATGCACTGACTTTAGCTGAAAAATGACCCTGTTATTGTCTTGCATTATTGACACACTACTCTCCTGTTTAACTCAGTAAAGCTGCTTAGACACAAGCAGTATTGATAAAGCGCTGTAGAAATAAAGGTGGGCACTGAGCTCAGCCTGACACAACTTCTCCTCGTGATGTGCAGAGTTACTCATGACTAGCAATTCAAACCAAAGTGATTAGTTCATCTCTCGAGTCTTTCGAATCGTTCGTTCTTTTGCCACGTGACGTGACGGCATTGGAGAGAGAAATTAGTTAGTTAACCACCATAACATCTCCAGACGTGTTTTTTAAAAGTTCAACTTGCATTAATATTACATGGCTTTCTAAACATGCGGCGCTCTTGTGCGAGACGCGAGTGCAGCGCTGATAGATGTCCCTCTAGAAAATCAGATAAATATGTGTTCTGTGTGAACGGCTTGGTTTCAGTTTAAACAACATCTTCTCCGCACTGATGCTCTCGTTTTCCGCTATATATGAAAGAACAACACAGCAGCGCCGCATCTAGGCTTCAACTGGATAGACTAACAAAAGCATTCAAATGCAATCATCGTCATCGCATCTGGTGCGCCGCTGATAAGCTGCCTGACGTTTTGGCATTCAAATGTTGATTTTTTTATTTTTTTTTTAATTCGACGAATATTCAAAATTCAATTTTTTTATACAGCGCTAATGACGAGAGCAATGATTTGGGCATCAATGCAATACAGTGTTGGGGTCTACTCCGAAATGTGCCGCTAATATTTGGCGACATTGTGCCCCAAGACGATAAATACTGGCAATACTTTTACTACAAATACTGAACATTGTATTTTCTCCCATTTGAACACTTAACTACTGAGCATCACAGGCTGTTCAAGTGCTTATTTCAGGAAAGGATCTGCTGCCTAAACATCATTTAATGTGTCACTACCCTCGGTGGATATGAAATAGTGCGCCTGTTGTTCTCATGTGGTCAATGCGATACGAGTCCAAACATAGTTTCTTCAAGACTCGACCAAAATGTTTCAAGAACATGACTCGGATGCTTGCCAGAAAACATCAGAGTTTCAAGGCCTATAACTGGGAAGCCTTTAACCATGACAGATCTGTACTTGGACCAGGAAAGAAGGTCTGTGTCAGTGACTTGAATGTGAAAGTGTTCAGATTGCATCGTAGTTGAACATTCCTCCAGAAACAAGTGTTCTCTCAGTGAAACGGGTGAAGTATAATGGAACTGAATATCGTTCTACCTTCATTATTTGTGGTCAGGTAGACCTTGATTTGCCAGTGTGTTATAAAATCAAGGATATTGTCAGAAATGAATGTGTGTTACTGGTTACACCACAGCTCAAAACGGTTTGTTTGGATGAACATTGCCTACAGGATTGATCCCAGACCCAGCGCATCTCTGAAAGAGTTACCTGTCACTGAACTCTCTTACTACAAACCTTCTGACGTGCAGATGTCCTATGGGTCTGATCATTTAGCTGTCACTTGTTCATGTCTCTGTGACGTTAATGAGTTTGTTTTAGCCATTCTGTATTTCTGAACTGTTGACTTGTTTTAAAGTAGCCACTTTGCCCAGTTTTTAAATAAAAATGAGTTATCATATCTGTCTGAAGACTCTTGATAATCTGATAATGTACATTGACACCATAGAACAATGTAAAAATAAATGTTGCACTGAAAGGAATACTTTCTTGACGACACGCTTAGAGTAATCCACAGGAATAACAAACGGTGTTAAACGACCCCAGTGTAAGTCTTTGATGATAGTAAGTGTAACAATCTCCTCTCAGTGTCGTTTTTCAGCACTATAAGCTGCTATTGTAACACTGTAAACGCAACACTACAAACACTGTACTTTTAACTCTGGACAGATTGGGACCATATATGATCTTTAGTAGTGTTAAAGTTAACACTTTAAGTGTTACACTGACACTGCTGATTTTACTTTTTCAGATAACGTCAGGTTCATAATTCTGGTCTGATTTTCTCCTCATACTAGAGTTAAAGGCTTTTGTGGATTTCCCTTTTCATCATAAATCAGAAAATACGGTCAACAGACAGAAAACAAACACATTTTCACCATGTTTTTAGGAGTCAAATGTTGCATAAATCAAAAACTACAGTTTTTATTAATAGTTTGAATTAGTTTTTACTTTTACATTTTCTGTTTTCATTTTAATTTAATTCAAATTAGTAATTTTGTTGTTTTTGTCATTTTGTCAGTTTTTCTTTAAAGGGGTCAAATGATGCGATTTCAAGTTGTTCTTTCTCTTTGGAGAGCTACAAGCTGATTGTGCATAGATAAGATCCCTGAAGTTGCAAAGACTAAAGTCTCAAAACCAAAGAGATATTCTTTATCAAAGTTAAGACTCTGCCACGCCCCCCTAAAACGGCTCGTTCTAACACGCCCCCACATATCTACCTCACTATGTGGGAATATTAGCATAATGCACCCAAATGTGCACGCAAAGAAAGAAGGCGTGGTTTCAGTAACCGCAGTTAGTGTTGAAGCAGCATGTCAGGGAGACGCTGTGTGTTTCTAGACGAAAGCAAAAGCACTTTATTTGGTCTTCCGAAAGTAGATGCATTTAGGAATCTTTAAGATGACTTACAACAGAACAGCAATGCATTTTATGGACGACCGTTTCGTGAACCTAGGAGAGGAGGTCATTCTGACTTTGCTATGACAATCTGGCGCTTCTGAATCAGCTACTGTTTTGAGTATTTGCTATTGACTGTGTGTGTGTGTGTGTGTGTGTGAGAGAGAGAGAGATTAGGCCTGTCGCAATAATCAATATATCGACTTATCATGCAATATATGTACATGACCTCAATAATTTTTGGTGAAGCAATATATCGGCCATTATATTTACTTTAAAATAAATGTCACCGTGTCTTTTGCAGCTTCTCAAACATAATGTGGTGTCGTCACGAGGTGCTTGTTCACATTTTAAAAATGCTTCTACAAACAAAGTTTAATCTGCAGATATGGTCTTGTTTAGGGATCTGTGTCTTTGTGCATACGCACATCTGACTGCTGAGTAGTGATTGTGTTTCAGTCAAATCATTCAAGGTCATTTCAGGTCTAAGTGCAATCTTTAGTTTCGCTCGCTTGTTTGAACTGCGCACAAGACACGGTTTAGTAGATGCTGGTCTCCTCGAGGTCCGGTGAGAGAGCATGTAAGTGGGTTATTTCAGAGCAATAAGCAACAGCTGTGGAAATACACTCCGGCCAGATGATAGACGACGGGTTAAACGCACTTTCACCACCACACTCAAACACGGCCTGTTCTTTTCCTGTTGTGTTTTACTGGGATTTATTTCTGTAAGAAATTATCTACCATTACCATGTGTGCGGAGCATGAAACCTCTGATGTTAATCTGGCTCCACAAATTAAAATATAGTTTAAATGTGTAGAACTGTTGAGTGGTTTTAAATTTCATTGACATATGCCAGCCTCATAAAGCAAACAAAAATATTAGCCTTTTTATAAATCTGCTTTGCATGGGGTTAAGAAATGTAGTTTTGTAGTATGTACTAGGGTGTTTTTCTGGAGACTTTTTCATTTTAAGATTGAAGTGCCTGGATTGAAATCAGCTATCAAATAGGAAATATTTTAGTGTTTTTAAATGCTTAGAATCCCTCTCACAATCTACACCATGTTTCTGCGAAACAAAGGAGAAAACAAAGAATAGATTTATTAAAGAATAATTTATTTATTTAACAAATATATTCATCATATAAATGGTATTTTTTGGATTTGGATTTTTGTCCAAATGTACAATATTTTACATTTCAGATCCCTGTCGAAGGGAATCGTTTAAACAACAGTCAGTGTTTATTTTTGCTATCGTTTAAAACATTGAGGCGAGTTTGAATCATAAGCGCATCGCTACGAATGCAAGTGTGAGATACGGGCTGTTTTCACCTGACCTACCTTTGACCAAATCTGTGTGCATAAGTCTCTGTGACAGTACAGGCCGTGTGCAATGCCTCCATTAGAGTAAAGCAGGTCCACTTTTGTCGGAACAGAGTCGCTGAAGATGCAGAGAAAGTCGCATCAGATGCACTCGGGCGTCCTTTAAGCTAAATGGTACATGCTGTATCCCATGTGTGTGTAGAGCCCCACCGGAGCCACGCTCAGCGAGTGTCTGTGGAACGGAGGCGATGCCGTGTATGAAGCCGGGGCGTGAGCGCCGAATGGAAGTGTAATCCCGAAGGCGGGAGGAAGCATCGGTTTAGAGGCCATCTTGATCTTCTCGAGCTCGGCCTCCTGGAGCCGCTTGGCTTTAGCTCGTCTGTTCTGGAACCAGATCTTCACCTGAGTCTCAGTCAGGCTCAGCGAGCTGGAGAACTCGGCCCGTTCTGCGATGGACAGGTACTGTTTCTGACGGAACTTCCGCTCCAGCGCCAGCAGCTGCGACGTGCTGAACGGGGTCCGAGGCTTCCGGTTGGTTTTGTGTTTTCTCAGAGGACACGCGGGAGGACTGAGACGCCCTGGAGACAACAACAACACACTGACCTTTACACGCATCTCTCACACTACTTTACAGCTCTGCAGATCTATCACTGTCACACCAAACCTCATAATGCCAATATAATGAGATTTAGGTATTGCATTAAACGTGCTTCACGTAAACATAATAGGCTACTTAGATCAAACTGATGCAAATGTGACCCTGCAGCACAAAAGCAGTGTTGAGTCGCTGGGGGATATTTGTAGCAATAGCCAACAATACATTGTATGGGTCACAATTATACATTTCTCTTTTATGCCAAAAATCATTAGGATATTAAGTAAAGATCATGTTCCATGAAGATATTTAGTAAATCTCCTACCGTAAATATATCAAAACTTAATGTTTGATTAGTAATATGCATTGCTAAGAACTTCATTTGAACAACTTTAAAGCTAAATGGTACATGCTGTATCCCATGTGTGTGTAGAGCCCCACCGGAGCCACGCTCAGCGAGTGTCTGTGGAACGGAGGCGATGCCGTGTATGAAGCGGCGTGAGCGCCGAATGGAAATGTAATCCCGAAGGCGGGAGGAAGCATCGGTTTAGAGGCCATCTTGATCTTCTCGAGCTCGGCCTCCTGGAGCCGCTTGGCTTTAGCTCGTCTGTTCTGGAACCAGATCTTCACCTGAGTCTCGGTCAGGCTCAGCGAGCTGGAGAACTCGGCCCGTTCTGCGATGGACAGGTACTGTTTCTGACGGAACTTCCGCTCCAGCGCCAGCAGCTGCGACGTGCTGAACGGGGTCCGAGGCTTCCGGATGGTTTTGTGTTTTCTCAGAGGACACGCGGGAGGACTGAGACGCCCTGGAGACAACAACAACACACTGACCTTTACACGCATCTCTCACACTACTTTACAGCTCTGCAGATCTATCACTGTCACACCAAACCTCATAATGCCAATATAATGAGATGTAGGCAATATGGCATTAAACGTACCTCACCTAAACTTGGATCAAACTGATGCAAATAAGTTCATAACAGTAGCAACCATAATCGTAGTAAAATATGTGGCATAGGCCTATGCTGATTTTAATCACCATAAACATGCACGTAAATGTCTTTTGTCTTTGGATGTAATCACATTATTGGTGCACTTAAACGTGGTCAGTGATTCTTAACAGTCTTGAATGCCTTCCAGAACTTTTAAATATGTCTTAGATCATGTTGAGGAAATGTCATTGATCATGGTGACCTCAATCAAGCCAAACAAGCCACAAAAAACATGGTTTTCCTAAATAATAAAAACATGCTACACTAACCATAGTTTAACTAAGGTATTTGTAGTAAAACTGTAGCTGTACAAATGGTAAACAACCCCCCCAAAACAAAAACAAAACCATGGTTACTGCACTTCTACTATAATAAAACTATGGTTAATTTTCGTAAGGTGTGCACATGGTTGCAGATATGAATCTGAGCTCGTATGTACTCGTTGAAAGCATGCATCAGTTTATTCTACTTTGGCCACAGTACACATGACTGTAACTCACGGGGAGAGAGCTGATGGAGCCACGTGCTCTCCTGCAGTTTCAGAAGGTCAACAGAAAACGCCAAACGAGCACCGGTCCGGTCCGGGCTGAGAGCGCTGTTCGGTCTCCGGTCTGCCATCAGTGCCTCGACGCTGAACGGGAGGATCTCCGGTCTCTCTGCGTCCTCCTCCACACCGATGCTCGTCTGCATGTCTCCGTTATCTCCTGAAAGCACACGGGAGTGATCTGCAGAGGCGTGAGAGGTCATGCAGGAGTTTCGGATGCTCAGAACATGCTGAAGTACTGTATGCTAATCACACGGGCGTCATCCAATCAGAACAGAGCGGGGCGGGGCTTAAGTTTCTCCTGAGGTTCGACTGTCGTGCGGATCTGTGTTGAGTATTGTTGCAAGCACAGAGCAAAATAAAGGACGATACTGTGTTTTGTATGCCTTTTAAGTGTTACCAAATTAAAGATAAATAACTGCATTTTAAATTATTGTTTGACTATTATCCCTCATAGCACACGTACATCACAGAGACTCTCTATTTACATCTGCAAGAGGTTTTTTTTTAGAGTGTTTGCTCATCTGCAATACGGACGTTTCCTATCAGATGTCAAATAGACGTTTAGAAGACGTCTTTAAGATGTTTATGATTTAACTGACATCTCAGAGACATCTATTAGATGTCTGTACACAGCAGATGCTTTCCAGATGAAGCAGCCAGACGTACTGTGCTCTCTGGGATTATACAATATTTCATTCATTTGCTGCTTGCCTCATTTTTTCTTTTATGTCAAAAAAGAGGTGATCGGGGATTTAGGAGAGGATCATGGTCAAGCGATTCTTGTTTTTTCCCCTAACTTGCGTTGAGACTCTACTATAGAGAATGCGCAAAGAATCGATGCATACTCGTAATAAGCTTGTTGCAGCACATTAACAGTGATGTGTCTCTCCACAGTGTCAGCTCCAGTACTGGCTGATCAGCGGTGATTAGTGGTTTACTGGAGACTAGAGTAAATACTGGCGTCGGCGGCATCAAAGGACATTCGTCTGAAACATGTTAACCATCACAAACCCTTTGCTAGCTCTTCTGTTTACTGGCTCTTCTGTTTACTAGCTCTTCTGTTTACTAGCTCTAGCTCTTCTGTTTACTAGCTCTTCTGTTTACTAGCTCTAGCTCTTCTGTTTACTAGCTCTTCTGTTTACTAGCTCTAGCTCTTCTGTTTACTAGCTCTTCTGTTTACTAGCTCTAGCTCTTCTGTTTACTAGCTCTTCTGTTTACTAGCTCTAGCTCTTCTGTTTACTAGCTCTTCTGTTTACTAGCTCTAGCTCTTCTGTTTACTAGCTCTTCTGTTTACTAGCTCTAGCTCTTCTGTTTACTAGCTCTTCTGTTTACTAGCTCTAGCTCTTCTGTTTACTAGCTCTTCTGTTTACTAGCTCTAGCTCTTCTGTTTACTAGCTCTTCTGTTTACTAGCTCTAGCTCTTCTGTTTACTAGCTCTTCTGTTTACTAGCTCTAGCTCTTCTGTTTACTAGCTCTTCTGTTTACTAGCTCTAGCTCTTCTGTTTACTAGCTCTTCTGTTTACTAGCTCTAGCTCTTCTGTTTACTAGCTCTTCTGTTTACTAGCTCTAGCTCTTCTGTTTACTAGCTCTTCTGTTTACTAGCTCTAGCTCTTCTGTTTACTAGCTCTTCTGTTTACTAGCTCTAGCTCTTCTGTTTACTAGCTCTTCTGTTTACTAGCTCTAGCTCTTCTGTTTACTAGCTCTTCTGTTTACTAGCTCTAGCTCTTCTGTTTACTAGCTCTTCTGTTTACTAGCTCTAGCTCTTCTGTTTACTAGCTCTTCTGTTTACTAGCTCTAGCTCTTCTGTTTACTAGCTCTTCTGTTTACTAGCTCTAGCTCTTCTGTTTACTAGCTCTTCTGTTTACTAGCTCTAGCTCTTCTGTTTACTAGCTCTTCTGTTTACTAGCTCTAGCTCTTCTGTTTACTAGCTCTTCTGTTTACTAGCTCTAGCTCTTCTGTTTACTAGCTCTTCTGTTTACTAGCTCTAGCTCTTCTGTTTACTAGCTCTTCTGTTTACTAGCTCTAGCTCTTCTGTTTACTAGCTCTTCTGTTTACTAGCTCTAGCTCTTCTGTTTACTAGCTCTTCTGTTTACTAGCTCTAGCTCTTCTGTTTACTAGCTCTTCTGTTTACTAGCTCTAGCTCTTCTGTTTACTAGCTCTTCTGTTTACTAGCTCTAGCTCTTCTGTTTACTAGCTCTTCTGTTTACTAGCTCTAGCTCTTCTGTTTACTAGCTCTTCTGTTTACTAGCTCTAGCTCTTCTGTTTACTAGCTCTTCTGTTTACTAGCTCTAGCTCTTCTGTTTACTAGCTCTTCTGTTTACTAGCTCTAGCTCTTCTGTTTACTAGCTCTTCTGTTTACTAGCTCTAGCTCTTCTGTTTACTAGCTCTTCTGTTTACTAGCTCTAGCTCTTCTGTTTACTAGCTCTTCTGTTTACTAGCTCTAGCTCTTCTGTTTACTAGCTCTTCTGTTTACTAGCTCTAGCTCTTCTGTTTACTAGCTCTTCTGTTTACTAGCTCTAGCTCTTCTGTTTACTAGCTCTTCTGTTTACTAGCTCTAGCTCTTCTGTTTACTAGCTCTTCTGTTTACTAGCTCTAGCTCTTCTGTTTACTAGCTCTTCTGTTTACTAGCTCTAGCTCTTCTGTTTACTAGCTCTTCTGTTTACTGGCTCTAGCTCTTCTGATTACTAGCTCTTCTGTTTACTAGCTCTTCTGTTTACTGGCTCTACTGTTTACTGGCTCTAGCTCTTCTCTTTACTAGCTCTTCTCTTTACTAGCTCTAGCTCTTCTGTTTACTAGCTCTTCTGTTTACTAGCTCTAGCTCATCTGTTTACTAGCTCTTCTGTTTACTAGCTCTGGTTCTTCTGTTTACTAGCTCTAGCTCTTCTGTTTACTAGCTCTTCTGTTTACTGGCTCTACTGTTTACTGGCTCTAGCTCTTCTCTTTACTAGCTCTTCTCTTTACTAGCTCTAGCTCTTCTGTTTACTAGCTCTTCTGTTTACTAGCTCTAGCTCATCTGTTTACTAGCTCTTCTGTTTACTAGCTCTGGCTCTTCTGTTTACTAGCTCTGGTTCTTCTGTTTACTAGCTCTGGCTCTTCTGTTTACTAGCTCTTCTGTTTACTGGCTGCTGTAATAGAGCAGACCAGCGAACTGCTTTACAACACAACTATTAATAACATATCAGTGTGAAGTATCAGTCACTGATGTTAGTATGTGCAGTTTACTGCGGTACTTTCCTTCATAATGTGCAGCAGCTCTCCTCTTTCGTAAACTGCATTTGGTTGTAACTGATAATATTACACACAAGTGGTAATCTAGCATTTCCTTAATTTCACATCCGGCACTTAAACAGAATAAATCTGTAATGATGCTTGGAGACACTTAGAGCCCATTAGATGAGGTGAGTGGCGCTGTGAGTCTCACGCTGCGGGAATGTTTGATCACAGACCTGCACTCACGAGACGCATCACCCGCCGCTGCACGAGGAGCTGTACATATCTGGAGACGGTGTTTGTGTTTGTGTAGGGAACAGAGTCAGGGGTGACTAGCATGCCAAACACTGCGCTTTCGGGCCAATGATGTGCCGTGGAGAAGGTGGTTACCATAGCTTTTATTGAAATCTCAGGGCAACAAATGAGGGCTGAACTGCGATGCAAAGCAACTGTAAGTCCCATCAGAGCTTTGTGTAACTCCACAAACTCCACCTTTGATTCCGAGTCTGGAGGCAGGCACGCGAGACAAAGAGCCTTTGTCGTCTCTCTCCGAGGTTGTCTTAGCCCTTTTCATGCAGAGTCTGTCAATTCTGACTTAAAAGGTTCCGTGGATATCAAAAGAGGGTCCGAGGGAAACGTGTGTCACTGCGGAACATGTGTGTCCCATGAAGCTGCTTAAACTACACATTTGCATTCACTATTTAAAAAGTTCGAGGTGGCCTCCGTGTTTCAGTGATCCGAGCACAACACGTTTTAGACCCCTTTTACAATCTGTATTTAAGACTGAAAACTCTTTCTGCAGGTTACATCTTTACACCTGTAGAGTGTAGGCCTGTGACTCATTTGAATATTCAGTTTAACCTATTCGTTCAAACCTTTGATTTATTCATTTTTTTCCATTCAGAAACACAGATGCAATCAGGAAGGACTGTCCTAATGAGTGTCATTGAATCATTCATTCATAAATATTTGTAATTTTACATGCAAGTGCATAAAAAAGTTTTGACTTTTGAGTAATGCATCAATCATTTTTTCCCAGTGATATGATAAATTAGTCATAATTCCTCAGTCATCAATCCATTTTTTTTCATTGTTGCATTTTTATCGCATTGTTACTGAACTGAAGCAGAACATTTAGTATGAACATTTATTTGTCAGAATGTTATATTTAGATAATATTCTGATTTTATTGACTGAAAAACCTAAACTCTTCAGAATCATGATCCCTATTTTAAGCATAATTTATCCAGCATCTTGCAGCTCTATTTATTATTATTATTATTATGAGAATGAAACGTTTCAAACTGCAGGGTGTCGATGAAGCTATAGCATTAAAAACGAACTAATAAAGAGTAATAGCATTAATCCAGCTCACGGAGTGCTGTGTGGATCCAGGGATCGAGTTTGGTAAAGACACCTGAGACACCAAAGCATTAGAAAAACAAGACGATCTTCTCAAAAGACATGTTATTAAATATTAAACAATTGCACTATTGTATTGGTTGATGTTTTCATCATAGATTGTGTTTTGATATGTTTTTCGTTCACAATAGTTGCCAGCATTTACATATTTATTGGTGAAATACTGTTTGGTTATAAATGTATGATTAACCATCATTAAAACGGTACAACAAATAAATACGTGAATGTGAGATATTGACAGTTGCTCGGTATTTATTAATGACATTTCAATGCAATATTTAAGCCTTTTATTCTTACATGACGATAAATGGCGGATCTGTTCATTTATTTATTTTTCTGGGTTAAAGTTGTTTGAGTGCAATTTGCACATTTTTCTTAAATATGTTTAAAAACATTTTTTTTCAGTGTTCATTGTAAAACCTAATATATGTCAGTGTATTTTAATCTATAATCTCTCCGCTTAACAACTGCAGTGTGAGTCTGATGTGAAGTGATGCACCGTGGCTCTTCTGGCCCTCAGGTGTGTGCAGCGATGGAAGAATCATCTCGGCTTCCCGAAACTCTTCCGGACTCCAGGAGAGTTAGAGGCTCGTCATGGAGTCACAGATGCCGAAAAA